TACTCCTACTACTCTGCTACTACTACTACTACTACTACTACTACTACTACTACTACTACTACTACTACTACTACTACTTCGACGACTACTACTACTATTGCTACTCGTACTACTAGTACCACTACTACTACTACTACTACTACTACTACTACTACTACTACTACTACTACTACTGCAGCCACTACAAGCAAACCTACTACGACTGCTACCACGATATATACTACTTACTATCCTTACTACTTGCTATTACTACTACGACCTACTACTACTACTAATACTCAGACTTTACTACTACGACTACGACTACGGCTACGACTACGACTTAGACTACGACTCGACTACGACTACGACTGACGACTACGCCTACGACTACGACTAGACTACGACTACGGACTACGGACTACGACTACGACTAAGACTATACTACTATATACTACTACTAATACTACTCACTACTATCATGCCCTCATCCTCCCCTCCTCCTTTTCCTCCTCCTCCTTCTCCTCTTCCTCCTCTCCTCCTCTTTTCCTCTCCTCCTCCTCCTCCTCCTCTGCCCATCCTGTTCCATGCCCCGTCCTCCTCCTCCTCCTCCTCCTCCCCCTCCTCCTCCTCCTCCTCCTCCTTCTCCTCCTCCTCCTCCTCCTCCTCCTCCTCCTCCTCCATCGGCGCCAGAGGCACACCGCCCGATGCTGGCGTCCGGGACGGGCCGCCGCAAAAAGCCGCCGCCGGCGCAGGGCCGCCGCGAAGGGAGGGCCGCAGGCCGCCCACCAGGGGGACGCCCAGCTGCCTCGCGGCCCTCTCGAGGGCGCGGAGGGAGCGGAAAGAAGAGGGGCAGGAGGAAGAAGAACGACGAGAGACGACAGCAGCAGGGAGCAAACCAAGCAAGAAACGAACAAAGGAGAAAAGAAAACGAAGACAAGAAGACAAGAAAGGAGAACGAACAAAAAACTAGAAGAAAGGCAGGGGAAAAGACAAGGACGGGAAGATCGGCGGCGCGCACACTGTGGTGGAGGGGGCGGGGGGGAGTAGAAGAAGAAAAAAAAACATTGACATAAACTTTTGGCGTTCCGTGCGGGTTTCTTGGATCTGCGTTTGGCCCCCCCTCCCCGGCGCGCGGAGCGCGCCAGGGGCGGGGCTGGAGGCGCCGCTGAGGGGGCCCAGCGGATCCAAGAAATCCGCGCGGAGCGCCAAAAGTTTATGTGCATGCCGATTTTCCATCTTGGATCGAAGGAGGCTGCTTCTTAGAAGGCGCCGGCCTCACATCTGTAGATGAGGCCCGCGCCTTCTGAGAAGCCCACCCCCCTCCCCCCAACCCCCTCTGCGCGTGGCTGAGCAGGGCCCTACCTTTGCTCCCACGGCCGGGAGAAGAGGGCACTGTACAACTCCAGCGCGATCGTCGTCGTCGTCGCCGTCGCCGTCGCCGTCGCCGACGCCGACGCCGTCGCCGTCGCGTCGTCGTCGTCGTCGCCGTCGTCGTCGTCCGCCCGTGGCGCCACAGCCAGTTCCGCGCGGCGCGGCCCGCGCAAACTGCGACGGCCTGCGTCGCCACGCTGGTCTTGCGCTCTGCTCCAGCACTGCCCCGAGAGATCCGACACCCCCGAAAATTGGAGCGGCGGGTGCGGGGCCGTTCTCGGCCTCCGAGGGGCCCTGGCTTCGGGGCCGTCAAACAAAAAAAAAAAAACGGGGCGAGGATTAAGTCGGGCGTGTTCCCCTACAGGGGGATTTGGGGCGAAAAAAGAAGGATGCCCCAGAAAGTGCCCCCAAATGATCAACACTGACACTAGTCAACCAAAATCTTCCCCAGACTAGTTCTCACTATATATAAATATACCCCCTGTAGAGGGACAGGCCCGATGTCGTGATTTGAAGTCTCGACCCATTCCCTGGGACCTGTTTTTATCCCGCATCGTTTTTTTACGGCCCCGAGGCCCGGCGAGGGCCCCTCGGGGCCGGAATTGGCGAAAAAAACCGTCCTGATTTTCTCAGTGCGTTGCATTTCTGGGGACGAGAAAGCGGCTCCAGGGAAGTGGTCCTGAGTCGGGCTTGTCCCTCCACAGGAGGAATATTCAGAAATTGTAAGAAGGGGCGATGTTCCTATCATTGTTTGACTGTGTTGGAGTATATGGGGGACATGTCCGACCTGGGGGTGGCCCAGACCTCTCGTGGGCCCACGCGCCGGGGGCGGTCCGAGCGGCCAGCTGCCTATGGGCCTTGCACGTCGCGCGGCCGCGGGCCCCGCCCGCCCCCGCGGGGGCGCCACTGCCCCCCTTCCGCTTGCAAGCCCCGCGGCGGGCTTCTTTGGAGCCTCGCGGACTGCCGACGTCCGCCGCCCCCTCGCTCCTACCCGTAAGTCGGGCGCTTCCTCCTGCAGGGGGATTTTGGACGAAGAATTAAAAATAATCGAAAAGAATCCCCAAATGGCAACAACAGATATTTCAAATTCTCCAAAATTGCCCAGCAATAGCCAAAAAATACCCCGAAATAGCCAACAACATGCTCAACAGATCATCCCCAGACTAATGTTTAACTATTTTATTCCTCCTGTAGAGGGACAGGCCCGACTTAATCTTACCCGCAACTGCGGGGCGCTGCATCCAGCATTTCTGCGGCATTGTCGAAGCTAGATGGGTCCCAGGAGGTCGGTACTTGTCGATGCAATCTGGCACGCAGCCAGAAAGCAAACTCCTGTGAGCACTCGCCGGAGTGACCACCCACACGGGGATCCTGCACCACGCGATTCCCGGGTGGGAAGTAGGTTGCATAATGATATATGACTGCTCCTTCCCACACACCGCAGGCCAAGGAAGCCCACAGCAATCCATAATCCAGACGCGGCGCCACCAGCGGCACCCACCCATGGCGAACCTCGTGAAAACGCATGCCCGTAGGCATCGTATGCCCGTCGACGCCGATGAACACGGTTGTAGTCGACAATCCGCAACTCGTAAGACTCAACCGAGAGCGGCAAAGGCACCGCAAGCTTAATTCACAAAAGATGAAGACAACCATGACGCAACGTCTGAACCATAAAATGGATCATGTAGAAGTCGAACTGGTCCTAATTATAGGACGCTGGTTTCACTGCAAACGAGAACACAGAGAACAATCGATACGGGCACCGTGAAGACTATGTCGAACACCAGGTGCTGGCGTCAGTGCTGGTGTAGGCGCTGGCGTTAGTGCCGGCGTAGGCGCAGACGTTGGGGCTGGCGTCGGTGGCGGTGTAGGCGCTGGCGTCGGCGCCGTCGTAGGCGCTGGCGTTGGGGCTGGCGCCAGTGCTGGCGTCGGTGCTGGTGTAGGCGCTGGCGCTAGTGCCGGCGTAGGCGCATGCGTTGGTGCTGGCGTCGGTGCTGGTGTAAGCGTTGGCGTCGGCGCTGGCATAGGCGCCAGCGTTGGTGATGGCGTCGGTGCTGGCGTCGGTGCCGGTGTAGGCGCTGTCGGTGTAAATGTCACACTGTGGAGGGATCAACTGTAAGCCTCGCTGTTGAAAAAGGGCCGCATCAGCGGCAGCGCGTAAGCCACCCAGGCGCTCTATAGAACCATCGTTGACGATGCACATGGTGTAGCTCACGGGGAGGGCGTCTCCTGCGCCTCAGAGGCATGCATTCTTATGGGCTCAGGGCCCATGGCAAAGTATGTCTCAAGGACCTGCTACTGGCCGACTCGCGGCCCTGAAGCATCGTCTCGCCTCCGCAACTGCGTTCACCCCCCGCATGCTTCCCAACAGTTGCATCAACGGCGCCGGGGAGCCACATGGGCCCCAGGAGCCCAGGAGCGCCCCGGGGCCAGAACCAGGGCAATCACGTGTTCCTTGCTGCAGAAAGGGGTCGCCAGGATCTCGGCGCTCTCCCCCCAGGCGCGCCGCCGCTCTCGCCCACCCCCGCGGGCGCTGCCGCTGCAGCGCACGCCAGCAAGCGGATGGAGGGGCCGCGAAGGCAGGAGTCCGAGGGCAGGGGCCGCACGCCCGGACTGACCAGGAGCAAGACGGGGCAGGATGCTCCGACGGTCTTCTCCTTCGAGCTGCGCCGACAAAAGGGGCGCGAGCAATCAATCAAAACCTACCGTGCTTGAAGCGTGACCCCCGAGATCCGACGTCGTGAGCTTTGTCGACACGGGGGCCCCCGGGAGTCTCGACCCCTTCCCCAGGACCGGTCTCTCATCCCGAGTCGTTGTTTGACGGCCCCGAGGCGCGGCGAGGGCCCCTGGGGGCCGAAATTGGCGAAAAACCTCCGCCCCGATTTTTTCAGTGCGTTGGATCTCTGGGCCACCCACCAGTCCCACCCCGCAGATCGACCGCTCCTCGCCTGCCCGCCACCACCCCCCGTGCGCTCGGCCGCCCGCGCGGCGCCCCCCGAGCATGTCGCTGCCACGCCGTGCATGCCGCAGGACTGCGAACACGCTGCCACAGGATCTGCTGCAGGCGCGAACGCATACCCAGACAGGATCGCGACGTTCAAAAATCAGGACGAGCAATGTTTCGCCATTTCCGGCCCCCAGGGGCCCTCGCCAGGCCCTGGGACTGTCAAAACACGACTCGGACGGAAAACCGCCCCCCGGGGAAAGGATGGCAGGGCTTCCGGGGGCGCCGTCTTGAAAAACATATCCTAGCAAAGCAACCTAACAGCGATGTGTAGGCGCATACCTGGAAGCATTACCCTTAAGATTCAGATAAGAATCCAGTTGTAGAGTTCTGCTGTTCTCGCAGTCGTAGTCGCATGCGCGATGACAGACGCAGTGGCAACGGCAGTCGCAGTCACAGCCTCAGCCTCAGCCTGCCTCAGCCTCAGCCTCAGCCTGCCTCAGCCTCAGCCTGCCTCAGCCTCAGCCTCAGCCTGCTTCAGCCTCAGCATCAGTCTGCCTTCAGCCTCGGCCTCAGCCTCAGCCTGCCTCAGCCTCAGCCTGCATCAGCCTCAGCCTCAGCCTCAGCCTGCCTCAGCATCAGCCTGCCTCAGCCTCAGCCTCAGCCTGCCTCAGCCTCAGCCTCAGCCTGCTTCAGCCTCAGCCTCAGTCTGCCTTCAGCCTCGGCCTCAGCCTCAGCCTGCCTCAGCCTCAGCCTGCATCAGCCTCAGCCTCAGCCTCAGCCTGCCTCAGCATCAGCCTGCCTCAGCCTCAGCCTCAGCCTGCCTCAGCCTCAGCCTCAGCCTGCTTCAGCCTCAGCCTCAGTCTGCCTTCAGCCTCGGCCTCGGCCTCAGCCTGCCTCAGCCTCAGCCTGCATCAGCCTCAGCCTCAGCCTCAGCCTGCCTCAGCATCAGCCTGCCTCAGCCTCAGCCTCAGCCTGCCTCAGCCTCAGCCTCAGCCTGCTTCAGCCTCAGCCTCAGTCTGCCTTCAGCCTCGGCCTCAGCCTCAGCCTGCCTAAGCCTCAGCCTGCATCAGCCAGCCTCAGCCTCAGCCTGCCTCAGCATCAGCCTGCCTCAGCCTCAGCCTCAGCCCTCAGCAGCCTCAGCTGCTTCAGCCTGCAGCCTTCAGCCTCGCCTCAGCCTCAGCCTGCCTCAGCCTCAGCCTGCCTGCCTCAGCCTCAGCCTCCTCAGCCTGCCTCAGCCTCAGCCAGCCTCTGCCTGCAGCCTCAGCCTCAGCCTCACCAGCCTGCACCAGCCTTCAGCCTCAGCCTGCCTCAGCCTCAGCCTGCCTCTGCAGCCTCGCCTGCTTCAGCCTCAGCCTCAATCTGCCTTCAGCTCGGCCTCAGCTCAGCCTCGCCTCAGCATGAGCCTATATTAAGCCTCAGTCTCAGCCTCGGCCTCAGCTGCCTCAGCATCAGCCTGCCTCAGCCTCAGCCTCAGGCCTGCCTCTGCATCAGCCTCAGCCTGCTTCAGCCTCAGCCTCAATCTGCCTCAGCCTCGGCCTCAGCCTCAGCCTCAGCCTCAGCCTCAGCTGCTCAGCCTCAGCCTCAGTCTGCCTTCAGCCTCGGCCTCAGCCTCAGCCTGCCTCAGCCTCAGCCTGCATCAGCCTCAGCCTCAGCCTCAGCCTGCCTCAGCATCAGCCTGCCTCAGCCTCGGCCTCAGCCTGCCTCAGCCTCAGCCTCAGCCTCAGCCTGCTCCAGCCTCAGCCTCAGTCTGCCTTCAGCCTCGGCCTCAGCCTCAGCCTGCCTCAGCCTCAGCCTGCATCAGCTTCAGCCTCCGCCTCAGCCTCCGCCTCAGCCTGCCTCAGCATCAGCCTGCCTCAGCCTCAGCCTCAGCCTGCCTCAGCCACAGCCTCAGCCTGCTTCAGCCTCAGCCTCAGTCTGCCTTCAGCCTCGGCCTCAGCCTCAGCCAGCCTCAGCCTCAGCCTGCCTCATCCTCAGCATCAGCCTGCCTCAGCATTCAAAATGTGGCCTGGGAATAAAGTTCTGGGAGCTCGAAGAACACGAAGTGGCCTGCAGTTGGCTCGGGGCATTCAAAATCATGCCCAATAATGGAATTCTGGGAACTTGAAAACCACGAAGTGGCCTACTGTTGGCTCCGGGCTTTCAAAATCATGCCCGGAATGGAGTTCTGGGAAGTGGAAGAGCACGAAGTGGCCTACTGTTGGCTCCGGGCACTCAAAATGTGGCCCGGGAATGGAGTTCTGGGAACTGGAAGAGCACGAAGTGGCCTACAGTTGGCTCCGGGCATTCAGAGTGTGGCCCGGGAATGGAGTTCTGGGAACTCGAAGACCACGAAGTGTGTAACAGTTTGCTTTAAAACTTCCGCCGATCCCTGTCCGGATGTCGCCCTGACCCCCCTCGGGAGTCATGATGTTTTCTTTTGACACTGCTAGAAACCTACCAGTCTTCGCTGTTAGGTAAATCAGGACCTTGCACGTCTGGGTACACATGCCCTTGGCATTGCGGACGTCAGCGCATCGTGCGTGGCTGCTGCCCGTCTTCACGCGCTGTCGATACAGGACAGGTTCCCCCCTGCAGCTCACCGACTCCCCGCGGTCATGGACGGCCCTTTCGTTTGGAGGCCGCACCTCAAGCTTCGCTGCTGCCTGGTCGTGGATTGGACTACCACCCGGGGACTCCTCCGCATCATGCGGTGGCACAACTTTGCTCATCGCCTTCGCGGTGCTCTTCTTCCTCCCGGGAGTCGACCTGGTCAAGCGGCGCGTCCTCCCCTGCAGTGCTTGAGGCTGGTGTTCGCGAAGTGCCGTTGACGGCAACACCCTTTCCTTCGCCTTCCGGGTCTTAGCCCTCGGTCCCTGGCCATGGCGCACCTTTTCCTGCACTTCCACTTCGGCACCGCCTGTTCCCCGGGCCCCGCCCGCTCCGGCCGCTTGAAGCCCCGCCTTCCTGTGCCCTGTCTTCCTGATTAAAGCTGTGCGTAGCACGCCTTGCTTTTCGCGGAAGAGGTTCGCTCTCGCCCCGCAGATCAAAAATGTCTGGGTACACATGTTGCGCCCGCCACAATCAGCCGCCGAGGCTCGCTCCGCCTGGCTGCTGACGGGACGCAGGCCTCACTCCGGCGACACAGAAGTCGAGCCCGCGCCAACCTCGCCACAGGAGCTCTGGCCCGGATCCGAGGCCGGAGACCCCGCAGGGCACTCCTCGCAGCTCGTCTGCCCGAGCGCACGCGCGAACCTGCCGGGCGAGCAGTCCTCGCAGAGAACCGTGCTCTCGTTGGGGGCGGCGGTGCCGGCGGGGCACATCCAGCAACCGCGGTCACCTAGAGAGGTCGCTGCTTCCTCCGATTGGGTCCCTGAAGGACAAGGGATACAAGATGAGACGCCGCTCACGTGGTCATACTCCAGATGGCTGCCAGCGGAGCAAGCGCCGAGGGCTGCCAGGGTTGGCACATACTCGGCCTGTTGACCCACCATAGCCACGGCAGAAGACACCAACAGGATGACCATGCAACAACAGTACACGCCACAGCAGCATGCGAGAACTCTTCGGCAGGACATCCCCACCCCACTGGTGGCGCAGCTCTGGGGCACGATCTCGGCCTCCCCGTACCAGAAGACCTGACCGTTGAAGTCGACCTGGAACGGCTGCTCCTGGAACGGCTTGTCGTCCACGACCACTCCGCTGCGGCCCGGCCCCAGAGGCCCGTCGGGCACCGCGGCTCCGGGCGCGAGCTTCACGCGGTCTCCCACCCCGGGGCGCCGGCCTCCGCCAGCCCCTCCGGCTGGGGTCACGCGCGGCCTCGGCACGGGCACCGGGGCGCCCGGCACGCCCCCCGCGGGGTCGTTCAAGAGGAGAGCCAGGCGCTCCGAGTCCTGGTCGCCCCGGCGGTCGGAGTCGTAGCGATGCTTGCCTGAGCCCCCGAGGTCATTCAGACTCATCAACATGTTCAGCAAGCGTTGGAGACAGGTCACGACGCACTGCCCGAGAGCAGCAAACGTCAGCCCCGCCATAAGCACGAAGGATGCAAAGAGAAGGACTCCTGCGAAGCATCCGTTCAAGCTGCCTCCAAGCGAGACTGCCACTAAGATCCCAAAGGCAAAAAAGCCTGAAGCAATGCAGATGGCAATCCTGATGATTATAGTCAAGTCTCCGAGCTCTCGCTCGACATTTTCCACGACAGTGCTGATCTGCCGCGGACTCGAAACATCGAATGCCACAGTGACCTCCGATCCGATGTGGAAATCGGGGCTGCTGACAGCGTAGTCGACCCTGCTGGGCTCGTGGTTTGCTTCAAACAATACCTCGATGTAGTGCGTCTGATTTTTCTGTGCGTTACGTTCTGACTCCCTGTAGTACCTGTCCACGACGCGGCCGCTCGTCCTCTGCACCTCTGGCAGGTCCTCTCGCAGCAAGCGCTGGAGCCGCCTTCTGTGCACGAGGAACGGGGTGAGGAGGAAGATCCCCATCCCCGCGAAAAATGCTCCCAGAGAGGCCATGGTAACAGCATGCTCCTGTCGTTCAAGGCTTAACGACTTCTGCCGTCGTTCGACTGGCGCTGGAGCGACCGCGAATAACTCCAACTTTCCCTGGAGATCTCTGGATTTACTTGGATTTACCCAGATGTATCTAGATGTATCTAGATTTACCTGGATGTACCTCGATGTATCTGCATTTACCTGGATTTATCTGGCTCGATCCCCACAAGTCGATTGGCGAAAAGTCGACAAGCCCTCAGGGATCATTGTCGGGGAAGGAGGCGCAGCCCAGATCTGGCAGCCGCGAGGCCACGAAGGGAGACGCGCGCCATGCCGTGGTGTCGGCCTGGTGTCTAGACATGGGGATTACCTCTTGTAGGCTGTAGATGCTGGAGCTCCCAGGGCTTGAACCAGAATGGCTGCGGATAGCCAAAATGGCTATGGGCTGCGGCTGCTGGGCGTCTCGGCCCGTCTTGGAGCGCTCTTGCGCCGTCTGGCCCGGTTGGAGGCTGTCTTGGGGGCCGCCTTCGTGCTCCTTGCGGGCCGTAATGTACCTAGACGGCTGCCATCAGTCTGCTATTAGCGCTCGGGTTGAACAACTATGCGTACTCTGCTTATTCTTTAGAGATTGAACATGGCAAGGAAGCTCTACGAGTCCCCCGGCGGTAACCAAGGTTGACGGTTTACCGCCGGCGCCCAGTTGGTCGACCCGACCAGAACGGGCAATGTGATGACTTGGAGTCGGTTTTCTTAAGATTTGATAGAGATTCGACTGGTCATATTGAGAAGCATGTTTTTGAGCCGAACATTAGCATATAAGCTTCATTCTGAGAGCAGCTCAGCTATCTAGATGCAGTTTTACTCTCTGTTGACTTTCGGAACCCACCTCATAACTCGTAGAGCTTCCCTTAGCTAGTTGCTGGAAGCTTAAGAGTAATTCCAGGGCGCTGGAGAGCTAGTTGGCAAGAAAAATCTCGACGGACCTTTTGGTGACTTTTGCTCGGTTGAAAATTATGTTCTCGAAATTCAACCATTCGTTAGAGCTCTAGTAGTTTTTCCCGTGATATTCGATATTATTTCCGCTCGCCGTCTCAATCTCAGCACGATCGCGTACCTACTACTACAAAAAAGCATCCCGGCGGGATCGGCCGTTTCGAGTCATCTTGACACGCGTTGACGGTTTTCTGTACTTAGCTCGAGATTGAGGGGAGCTACATAGCTGGTAAGAAACCGATGCAGAATCATCAGGCGCGTTCATCTGAAGCATCTAGAGGTCCGAACTCACTCTGCTACTCGAGCTAGGTCCGCGAAACTATTCGTATGCTACAGATTTTCTTGACAGATGCTGCCGATTTCCGGTACTTAACTCGAGCTGTAGAAGGGCTGCAGAGCTGGTGCGCCCACGTAATCGATTCATAATTATTAGACGCGTTTGTCTCAAGCATCCAGAGGTCTGCACTCGGTCCACTACTGGAGCTATGTCCGCAAAACTGTTCGTATTGTACGAAATTTGTTGACAGATGCTTTCGGTCTTCTGTACTTAACTCGCACTTCTAGGAGAGCTACATAGCTTGTGCGCCGACGTAATCGATTCAGAATCATCATGCGCGTTCGTCTGAAGCATCTAGAGGTCTGCACTCGGTCCACTACTCGAGCTAGGTCGTAAAACTGTTCGTAGTCTACGAATTTCTTGACAGCTGTTGTCGGTTTTCTGTACTGACTCGAGCTGTAGGCGAGCTGCAGAACTGATGCGCACACGTACTGGATTCAGAATCATCAGGCGCGGTCGTCTGAAGCATCTAGAAGTCCGAACTCGGTCTGCTACTAGGTCTGCGAAACTTTTCGTATTCTAATTTATTATTTTTTCGAAATGGTGGTGAGCTCCTTGATTGGAGTCGAGCTGCATCTGAGCACCAGAGCTATTTTGCACAGCAATCGGAGGGAATTATCAGACGCGCTATTTGATAATATCTCGAGCCGTAAAATCAGTTTTCCGCTCGGGCTGAACAGCTATTCGTACTCTGGTAAGTTCTTGGAGACGGTGTTAGTTTTCTTTGTCAACTCGCGCTGCAGACGAGCTACAGGGCTGTTCTGCACAGCAAGCGGAAAGAAATCATTAGAGGCGCTAGTTGAATGTATCTAGACGGCTGCAATCAAGTCTGCTATTAGCGCTCGGGCTGAACAAATATTCATACTCTGCTTATTCTTTAGAGATGATATATAGCAAGGAAGCTCTACGAGTCCCCCGGCGGTACCAAGGTTCATGCTTTACCGCCGGCGCCCAGTTGGCAAACCTGACCTAATGTGATGAGTTGGGGTCGGTTTTTGTATCTTTGTGCAAAATTTGAAATTCGTTCAGAACCGGTATTCGTCTCACCGGTAGTGGGTTATGTCGCGCGTGGTTTGATATTCTAAAATACGTAGCTGCAGTATTTCTATCAAAACACTTAAGGGAACCGCGTTTCGATACAAACCGAAAAAGGTGATTTTCGGTTTTTTCAGCCCACGCTTAAGCAAGATTCTAGCATGTGTTTCGAGCAGCACCGTGAGAAAAGAGCTCTACGAGGGTCGCGGCAGTAACCTGGTTTCCTTCCTCCTCAGGGGCCTCTGGGGGGCTCCCGTCAGGCCTTCGTCTCGAGCGATATTGTGCTGTGCCTTTTGTTCGGTTCTCTTTACCGTGCACGGTGCTTCAGTGTTTGTGTTGCTTGAATACGGTGCACATTGATTGATTTCGGTTATTGATTTTGGTTATTGAAGAGGAGTGCACATTGACCGTTGATAGTGTATTTGGCTGAACGATATTGTGAATCACTGGCGCCGGCGGTGAACCGTCAACCTAGTCACCGCCGGGAACCTCGTAAAGCTCCGTACACTGATAAGAGTGCTGAGAATCAAAGTAGAGGCATGAAATAGAGATTTTTCGAAAATCTTGATTTTCGATTTTTTCGATGTTCATATTCGCTCAGCTCCGGGAAGTCAACTCTCAAGAAAATACATCGGGAGAGCTGAGCTGCTGTCAGAGAGGAGTTCATATGCCAATGCTCGGCGTAAAAATCTGCTTTCTCAAAATGAATGGTCAAATATCTTTCAAATCTGCGCAAAAAACGACCCAAAGTCACCACTTTGTCCTTTCTGGTCGGGTCGACCAACTAGCTTCACCCCGCGCCTGAATTCCTCTAGCTCATCGATAACGAAGAGCTCTACGAGGTACGACGTCTTGGTTCGGACTGGGCGCCGGCGGTAAACCGTCAACCTTTATTACCGCCGGGGGACTCGTAGAGCTTCCTGACAACATATAATGTCGAAAAAAATTGCACCGAAAAAATAGTTTTTCAGCCCAAGCAATTTCAAACCTCTCGGATGCAACAGCCGAACGCCCCCGATGCTTCTAGATTATCTTCTGTACGAGCTCTGTAGCTCCCCTACAGCCTGCATTACGTGCGTAAATCGACAGCACCTCTCCAGATGACTCGAACAATACGAATAGTTTGGCAAACCTAGCTCGAGTATCAGACCGAGTTCAGACCTCTCCATGCGACAGGCGGACGCGTCTGATGTCTCTGAATCGATTCCTGTGATTACCAGGCCTGCAGCCCCCCCTACAGCCCGAGTTAAGTGCAGGAAACCGACAGCACCTCTCAGGATGACTCGAACAATACGAATAGTTTCGCGGACCTAGTTTGGGCAGCAGAGAAAGTTCGGAGCTCTGCATTCGAAAGGCGGACGCGCCTGATGTCTCCGAATCGATTCCAGTGATTATCAGCCATGCAGCCGCCCCACAGCCCGAGTTGAGTGCAGAGAACCGACAGCATCTCTCAAGATGACTCGAACAATACGAACAGTTTCGCGTTTCTAGATCGCGCAGCAGACCGAGTTGAGAGCTCTGAATTCAACGGACAACGCCCACTGATGATTCTGAATCAGATTCTACGTATCAGCTCTGTAGCTGTCCTGTAGCTCGAGTTAAGTACAGAAAAACGATAGCGTCTGTCAAGATGACTCGAATAATACGAATAGATTTGCGGACCTAGCTCGGCTAGCAGGCCGAGTTCAGACCTCTGGGTTCAACAGGCGAACGCGGCTGATCATTCTGAATCGATTAGCTGTGCTTACCAGCTCTGTAGATGTCCTAAAGCTCGAGTTCTCTTGAAAAACACCAACAGCGCGTGACAAGATGACCCGAAACGGCGGATCCCGCCTGGACGTTTTTCTCAGTAAAAGGTACCCGATCGAGCTGAGATCAAGATGGCGAGCGGCAATAAGATCGAATATCACGGGAAAAAATACTAGAGCTCAAACGAATTGAGGAATTCCGAGAACAAAATTTTCAACCGACCAAAAGTCACCAGGAGGTCTGTCGAGATTTTTCTTGCCAACTAGCTCTCCAGCGCCCCGGAACTGGGCGCCGGCACTAAACCGTCCACCTTCCTTACCGCCGGGGGACTCGTAGAGCTTCCTGAGCATATATAATGTCGAAAAAATTGCAGAGAACGAATAGTTTTTCATACTGTACGATTTCAAACCTCTCGATGCAACAGCAAAACGCCCCTCATGCTTCTGGATCGTTTTCTGTGCGCACGAGCTCCGTAGCTCTCCTACAGCCTGAGTTACGTGCGACAATCGACAGCACCTCTTAAGATCACTCAAACAATACAAATAGTTTCGCGAATCTAGCTCGAGTATCAGACCGAGTTCAGACATCTGAATGCAACAGGCGGACGCGCCTGATGTCTTCGAAACGATTCCTGTCAGTACGAGCTCTGTAGCCACCCTACAGCCCGAGTTAAGTGCAGAAAACTGTCAGCACCTCTCAAGATGACTCCAACAACACGAATAGTTTCGCGGACCTAGCTCGGGCAGCAGGCCGAGTTCAGGGCTCTGAATGCGACAGGTGGACGCGACTGATGTCTCCGAATCGATCCCAGTGATTACCAACCCTGCAGCCCCCTTACAGCTCGAGTTAAGTGCAGAAAACGGACAGCACCTCTCAAGATGACTCGACGAATACGAATAATTTTGCGAACCTAGCTCGGGCAGGACACCGAGTTCCGAGCTCTGGATTCGGCAGGCGGACGCGCCTGATGTCTCCGAATCGATTCCTGTGAACACGAGCTCTGTAGCCCCCTACAGCCCGAGTTAAGTGCAGAACATAGTCAGCACCTCTCAAGATGACTCCAACAACACGAATAGCTTCACGGACCTAGCTCGGGCAGCAGACCAAGTTCAGACCTCTAGATGGAACAGACGAACGCGCCTGATGATTCGCAATCGATTTCTGTGACAATGACCTCTGTAGCTGCCCTACAACTCGAGTTAAGTACAAAATACCGACAACGCGTATCAAGGTGACTCGAAACAGCCGATCCCGCCGCGATTCTTTTTTGCAGAGATATTTACCCGATCGAGCTGAGATTAGGATGC